TAGAGCGCCTTAAATGTCTCAGAAAAGAATAGCTCAAATTCGAAACACGATGCTGCATATGAGAATGTCAGTTCAAAATATTTTCAATCGATTTTCCACTGTAATATTGACAGAGCTAACCAACGATACAAATCCTTCTGGTCTATTACAGTTACAAGCTTTTTAAAATAATAATGCTCTAATTAGTTCTGATCTCCAACTTTATTAATTATCAGCTAATATTCAGTAGTGATTGATAATGCTACTCTCGTCTTCACGACAATGTTCATCGAGATTTCCTTATCGTAAGCACTTCGCGAATCAATCGATGAAGTCATACACGTATAAATATTAGCATTCTTGTCGTTGGCCATAAAGGCATAAAATAGCATAGTCTCCAAAGGCAAACTATAACGAAGTATGAACGTGGATGAGGATATGAGTTTGAGAACGACTTCAGGTTGCTGTAAGTATTGGTGACGACTTTTTGCAACCATGATTATAAAACCCAATGACTGTGAATAATTGACTCTGCAGATGTAGCCACTGTATGTATTGCCCTATAAGTACCAATGTCGGTGTGTACGAATGGTTTTGACTGTGGATATTAGTACATCTGAGAACGAATACGTAAGAGGACGAAGATCATTGTTCTGACTTAATCCTAGACGTTTGTTTAATGAGACGGTGTGCGCATGTAAGTGAATGCATGGCCACAACTCTACTCATAGTCCTCAACATCATCCACGTCTATCTTTGGCGTTAAAATTCTTTTCGTATGACTTTGTTTAAATTTTGATATTTACTTCACAAATAGCAACAACGACAACTTCGACGTCCGCAACAAAAACAACGACAACAACAAGTGAGTACTCCCTAGAATTCACATAGCGACTGCATACAGCTTTGAAAGATTATGCTCCTTACTGGAGTTGATAAAAAACTGTACCTTTCATCAAAGAAATATGTTTTACTCCATTTGCTTTTTGATTTGTTAACAAGTTCGGTAGGTCTTTAGATCTCAACCACATTAAACGATATCTTTGTACACTGAGAGTTTAACAGTATCTGAGAAATTCTGGAGATGAACTTGAATTAAATAAAAAAGAATAGCCAATGTCACGTATCAAGGTCTAAGTCCATACATTATCAGTGCTTCTTTTGTTTTTATTTGATATCGTTGTCTGCTGAGAATTGAAAAATGACAAGCAATGTCATAGTCTTAGTTGATTTTTTTTAAAATACACTGTCATTCATGAAAATAAGTTTCATACGAAAATGCGAACAGCGAATCATTCAATTCCTACACGAAGTGGATATCTGATTTGCATCAAACACAACTGAAATGTTTACAGTTGCATTTTGTTTCATCGCGAAGAATAGGTGATAAAAAAATCCCTGACTTCAGTCACTTGCTAACTTGCTGCTGCACTAAAAATGTACATCTTCCCTCAAAAGTGATTCAAAATTTAGAGAGACTTCAATTAATTCCAAATCAATTCTGAGGATTTACTTTGTCTAATATCAATCACAATTATCCTAAGTCTTCTTAAATACTCCTTTTCCGAGAGTCGTACATTCTATTGGAAGAAACTCTTGCCTTTCTTTATTGTATTTCTTTTAGCAACGACTACTACAACAGCTCAGTATATCGCTAGTGCCTTCTGGTCATTCGATAACAATGCACTTGAGCTCTATAATAGTGGTCTCGATGGAGCTCTCGCCGGAAGTCCAAGCTATACAACCAGTGTTTTTGGTTACGGCGCTGCCATCTATCTTGCTAGGTCCTCTACTCAATATGTTTATATCACACCGAAAGTACTACCGTTCGATTCGCGCAGTTTCACAATTGAAGCATGGATCTATCCTATTAGTTTATCTAGTGGTACTGAGTATGGCATATTTGGTCAATGTCAATCGAGCAGCTACGATTTATGTTTACATTTTATTATTCGAAGTAGCGTGTTGTATTGTGGATTCTTTTCAAATGACGTATCTGGTGTAACTACTTTGACAAATAATACATGGTATCACGTAGCTTGCATCTATGATTCGACCACGCAGACGCAACAAGTCTGGCTTGATGGTAACCTTGATAACTCACGTTCTGCCAGTGCCTACAATGGACTATGGGGAATAACAACTATAGGTGCTACTTTTGAATCAGGTAATGCATCTAGTTTCAATGGATATATTGACAATACAAGATATGCGGGAAGAGCTAAGAATTCAACTGAAATTAGTAATGACGCTACTCTACAGGTTTACTATTCGTTTGATGGTGGTGCACTTACTGACAATGGTCCCAACGGTATTAATGGTACAGCCTATGGAAGTCCATCAAGTACAACTGGTCGCGTGAATGGCGCATTGCAATTCAATACGGGACCCTATATAAGCTATTCATATCATCCATTTTACTTTTTGGGTGTCAACGGTAAACCACATACTATAGCCGTGTGGGTGAAGCCAACAGGAAGCTATTCGACACAAACAATTGTTTTCGTAGGATCAATATCTTATTGGTGTGTTCACTTTTTGGTCATGCATTCGAATGGAAGGTTGTATGCAAATAGTTGGAATGGCGCTGGTGTACCTTTGACTGGTCCCATTCTGCCATTAAACACCTGGACACATATTGGTTATACTTATAGTAGTACCAACGGTGTTCGACTGTACATTAACGGTAGCTTTTACTCATCGACAGGTGCCTTTACATTTAGCGCTGCTGGTCAATCAGTGCCTATCGTATTGGGAGGAGATAAAATCGTTCATTAATGCATGTGATCAATTGTCTATTCCACCTATTTCGTCTACAACTTCAAGGAGAAGCGTAAAATATGAACATACGAAATGTTGGTCAAACTGGCTGCTCTCCTTACTACGGAGGTGTATTCACTGGTGCTCTCGACGAATTTTACCTGTACAGGCGCGAATTAACAGTCAGTGAAATCTGGTCACTAGCCAATCCTTAAGCTGATATGATGAAGTCGACCACCGATGTTAAACTCTTTTACATTCCTTTTGCTAATTCAATAAAAGTGTTTTTTCCAATGAAACTATATCTCTCAACATCATGATTTCAGAATTTCACCAACAAAAATACTTGCTAGGGACCCCGCATAAATAATCGTAATACGGATATCAGCACAGTCAATGATATATATGTATGTATACCATGAAAACTCCAGTACTTACAATAATGAATTCAGACGAGGGCAAAATACAAATGGCTGTAGGTGTGTGTGTGTGTGTGTTGTCCGTGTGGCTGTGGTTGTGTGGATGTGGATTTTGGATGGGGGTGAGGGTGGATGTGGATGTGGATGGGTGTGATGTAGGGTGTGAATGGGTGTGGATGAGGGTGGAGTGTGAGTGGGTGTGGGTGTGTTGGTATGAGGGACAAATGCATCCACAGCAACAGCTACAGCCACACTACCCAAAACACACCCTTGCTGATCACGAATATGAAATCTATTTTGCTTCAAAATACGTATGGAAGTCGAACCAAAGCTATCCTTTAATATCACAAGAAAGCGGGTGTGGGTGTGGGGTGTGGATCCTAGCATGGTTACAGAGAATATCGATACCGATGCCGACACCCACACCCACCCAACCACACCCACACCCACACCCACACCCACACCCACACCCACACCCACACCCACACACCCCACCCTATACTGAAACTGCACATTCCTAAATGCAATTAGAATATAGTGTTAATTAATTTTTCGTTGTGTTAATGAATGAATTAATTAATTAGGAGAGTGTTGTATGAAATTGTGAATGTCTTTTTCTGTGTTCTTCGCGTTCACTTTGGATTGGATTGAAGTTCGAATTTTTGTACTAGATGATTCCCATTATCGACAACATAGAGATTACCGTGTCGATCGAATGACAAACCGACGGGTCCATTGAGTTGGCTCGATTGTCCTCCACTACCGTTTCTACCAACAATGACACTTCCTTGTGTGGCTCCTTTAGGCCAACGCATGATTCGATTATTCCATCCATCAGCCACATATACAGTGCCGAATTGATCGACAACGACTCCTTGAGGAGATGACAATTGTGTAAGATCATTTCCTTGTCCTTGACCACCAGCCACAACAATGCCTTGTTTTGCACCTCCCATCCATTTCATCACACGATGATTGTTCGCATCAGATATGTACACTGAATGATCTCGATCGACGAATACGTATTGTGGGCGAGAGAGTTGATCGAAACGATTTCCACTTTCATTGCCACCTGCAACCACTGTTGCTTGAGATTCTCCTCTTCGATATCGTCTCACTTCATGTTTTCCAAAGTCAGTGACATAGAGAGATCCATTCTCGTCCATTGTCAAACCCACACATAAGATGTTGGAGATGATTGTTTCTCCACTTGTCCCATTTCGACGAGGCCATCGAACCACTCTTCCATTCGAATAGTCGCATATGATGAGACTATCTCTCTCTTTGTCGATAATCACATCTGTTGGGTTATCCAATTGATGATCTCCACTTCCTTGTCCATTTCCACCGGCAACCACTTGACCACTCGTTGCACCTCGTTTCCATTCCACAATACGGTGATTCGTTCGATCAGCAACATAGATTGTTTGATCATCATCAACATACAAACCCCATGGGTTTGAGAGTTGATTGATTCCATTGCCTTGTCGATTTCCTCCAGCTACAGTGATACCATTTTGTTGCCATCGAGCATTCGGATGAATATCAATTGAACTCCCACGTAATGGATGAACTGAAATCGAGAAAGAAAAGCGAGAGAGGATAAAATGAGAGAGGATAAAATGAGAGAGGACAAAATAAGAGAGAAAAAAGTGAAACGTTCATTTGAATTTTTGCAAAGTCAACATCGTTCCGAATTTTGATTTGTTTCAGATTTCTTCTTTTGACACTGAGGTGTTTTCGTTTTGGTTTTCTTCATTACTTTATTTATCATAGAATAACTATTGATATATGTTTTTTTTTGTTTTTCTTTTCGACTATCTTTATATCTTACATTTTGAATTAGTGGACTTCACTTCAAAAAAAGATTTTAGTAGAGTTGAAATGTACACACTAAATAAAAATGTGTCGCATGTGTCGTGATTTGCGACACATTGTACGACACATTGTAGTACGACACAAGAAGCTCACTGCGACACATTTTCTCCAGCGAGACTGCGACACATTTTCTCCAGC